GGCGAATCCCGTGCGTGAGGATTGTGATAAATCCCTCTTCGGGTAATATCTGAAATTCGGCTTGTCTATACTGTAAGAACTGCCTGCCTATCCTCATGCACTTGAACAACGAACTTCAAGGGAGGGTTAGTTAGAGTAGGTTTATTATGCATTGAATACATAAGGGCAGAGATAGGAGTGCAGATAAGTTGAAGAGCCGCTATCAACCGGAGAGGGATTCCTCACGGTCCTCGCGCACGGAGTTCGCTATCCAATTCAGTTCCTGCCTCTCTCCTATAAAGGTCAACTTAAACTCCCTAGTATCTATCACATATACTAATATCTCCTTCTTTCATGTATTCAATGCCTAACAAATACACAGCAAATAATCCTCTCTTAAAGTCCGAGGTATAAGTGCATGAGGGTAGACGGGCAGTTCCTACACATGTTACTCCTGGCTGCTTGGACTGGTCTAGGTGCTAGGTCATGCTACTATTTTTCCAAACGCACCCATAGTATCTTGCTTAATATCTTCCATCTTGTGGGAATACAAGAGGCGTTAATGAGGCCACATAAAAATTGTTATTTGATGAGATAGACTTTGTGCAGTTCATACTACGATGCGACAAAAACCTGAAGCTTAATCTTAGTACTTGTACCGTATGATTAGGAAAATTTGCACCTTTGTTTTGTAACTATTAGAACACTTTGATGATTATTGTTTTACCATCTAACAGTTGTAGATAATCACTTTGCATAATCTTATTCGAAGTTGTGTTTTGTTACGCATTTGTATAAATCGCTTGGGTGTAAAATAGTTTTACACAATCGAAATAGTACCTTTGGCGTTTGTCCGCGTGTAACGGTGCAGCCGACATTTCAGGGGATTGGTTACGGGTCTTTTTCTTCCGTAAATGGTTGCTAGGAGGCGAAATAGAAGTTCCTCCGTAAGCATTATTCATGCTTTTCTTATTTCTACTTCTCCTCTAATGATTCTTGTCTTAAAGCGTTCCCGCAGTGCTTCTCGTCCGCGGCCTACGTCTCGTACTAGGTCAAAGTCAAAGTCGAGGATTTTACCAAAGTCATCGAATTGGAAGGCTCCTTCCATTGCACCCACATCGGAAATAACTGTCGTTAAAGTAAAGCTTCGGTCTCGATCTCTCAGCACATCACTAAGTGTAAGAGAAGTAGAGTCTGAAAATTCACTTCGGCAAAGTGTGGGAAATCGTTCCTCTGAACCTTCCATGCAGAAACTCGATGACCCTTGCAGTTCTTTGGGGTACGAATTTTGCTCCCAAAATCTGTTGGTTCCTTGATGGAATGATTTGAATTCTTATACTGGTTTGCTTTTTCTTTCCAGGACTTAGGTCTTGGATCTAAGTGCTTTGGAAATTCTATTATCCAATTTCCGTTACTGCTTTCTCTGTATTTTTTATAGGAAACCAATTAGTATCGCTGCCTTTTTCATGCCGCTCTTTGTCTACTGGTGCATCTTTCTCGCTGTCTCTCCAACAAATGAGGAATCATTCACAAGAATCTGCTCCTATCACGGTTGTTTCGTAGCATTTTTCGGGGCTGCTGTCCCTCTGGATTTAAGCTTTGTCAATTTACGTGTTCTTTTTGGCGTCGTATTTTTCGATAGAATCATTATGTTTCTAAATAATTTTGTACCTATCGGCGAACCGTCTGTTGTCGTTTTCGCTGCACGTCGGTGGCAGCGCAGGTGCTATCGTAAGTATTTTTTTGTTTTACTTTGCTGCTTTTTAGGAATATTGGTTGTTTTGTTCTGTCTTCTTTCTGCGGTTCTATACGTTTATGTGTGTGCTGAAGTTGTTAATGGCTCCCAGTTACTTGATCTGCGGAACTTTCTGGTATCATTCTTCCTTGGTGCATGGGTTGATGCTCTTCTTTTCGCGATACACGCTCTTCTGAAATCCCGACACATTCGTGGTTCTTCTACTGCACTAGCCAAGCATTCGGGTGAGTTGTATATGCAGTTGAAATGGGGAATTGAAATGTTTTTGACTTCTTTCTGTTGCGTAGGTAACATCATTTTGGACTTTTATAACGGCAGTGAAATCCGCCCTATAATTTGCGGGCTGGATATCAAAGTTTCCTCCTACTTTGTGTCCATTATCAGAGGCTTTACCCTTCAACTGGTCTTTGCGATCTATCAGTACGATGAACATGCGACCCTTAGTTTTGGTCTTATGACTTTGCTTCTCTTTCACGGTATCTATATATTGGACTTCTTTATCTACGAGCCTACGATTCTTCATGCCCATGACATTGTCTACTATGGCTGTGGTCTTCGATGGTTTCAGAACGTCCTCCTCGTCTGGCCTTTATTACAAAGCCTAAGCGTTTTATATCTGGTCCACAATTACTATGATGTTCAACTCTCTTGCTACAGTTTTTCTGCTGCGGGTGCAATTCTCTTCATTCTTGGCCTTTATATTCGTCGACAGGCCATCAATCAGAAGTTCTTTTACCACGATCCACAAGGTCATTCATTTGATTCCTCGAATTCTTTAAACGCTACCGCGAGTCAAAACATCACAGCAGTTGGTTGGTGGTCTTGTGTCCGTCATCCCGACTACTTGGGTGAACTAATTCTGTTGCTTGGTCTGGCCTTGACTACTGGAGTTGGTAGCGTTGTTCCATGGATTGCACCGGTGTGTGGGTTTTTTGATGTACTTTTGCGCATTCACTGGGACGAGCGGACGAGCTTGAAGAGGTATGACAAGACTGCGTGGAGGAAGTACACTTCTGCTGTACCCTACCGTCTGATTCCACGTATTTACTAGTTCTTTTCCAACCAAAAATGCACTTTTGCTCACATGCTTTTATCATAAACGAATTTTTGCAATTTAGAGCTCTCTTCCGATGCATTTACCTTTAGATGTTTCTGTGTGCGATTTGGCCATGTAGTTGCTTATAACTATATTTATGCGAACGTTCCTCCCATGTGTAAGTTCTAATTTTTTGTACTTCCTTCTTGGTGTATTAATCTACCTTACCGAAATTGAATGAATCTGGTGTTAATCCTCCCCCTTGTATGGTATTTTATAACTAAGGTAATGAAATTTCGGTTTCAGCTCCATAACGTTTTTTGACGATAGGCATTCTTTAATAGATGGAATGCTGAACTGGTTTGTGTGCTTGATTTTTGAGGTGGACCTCGGTACGACTCGTAACATTGTTTGCACTTTCTGGAGTTGTGACTTTTAAGCTATTCGGT